TCTGCAGGACGGGAAGGGTCGAGCCGACGATTCCCGATCGAACCTCTCGTCGAGGGCACGCCTGGCATGCCAAAACACTTTTGCTCGAACGCGAATCGCACGCGGATCGGTGCGTCGACGAAGTGCATATTTTAGAGACGGACGCCAAGGTGCGGAACGAACTCGCGACGAATCGTCCTCGAAATCATCCGACCCGAAACGATCCGTGCCGAATGAAAATGCCATCACGGAACTCCGTAAATCCTGGCTCCCTCGAGAACGTTTCCGGAAAGTCGTGCAGTCGTACGGCTTGGCGTTCGTACTCGATTCGCTTTTTCACTCCGATCGATTCGTATTTCGTGTCAGTCTGTACTCTGTCGAATGCTTCAGAGATTCCAAAAGACGGGTGGAGGACCTCTCCACCGGAATAAAGGAGTCATTCGGTACTTACGGCAACTCGATGGTCGAGGATGGACTTGCCATGGCGAAAGCCACAACTATTTTCCTCGATACAGGCTTTCGACTGAGAATCGATGAGAGATTCAAAATTCCTACCGACTGCATTTGGAGGAGCCTTATGACCATATTTGAAAGAAAATCGGTTAGCGATCGGACGGATTCCCAGTTTTTAAAAAAAGGGAATCCACACGAGCAAAAACTTCCGCATGGAGAAGAGACACGATGACGATGGGCTCCAGGGATCGGATGGACGAATTTTCGCTCTTAATTAGAGAGACGAAATAGGGGGAACATGCTTTGGAGAAAATCAAAATACGTGGCGAATCGTACGAGAGGAAATCCCGATGGATCGCATCGTTAACCTTGCTAGAAACGGAAAAAGAGGAATTAGAACTTGCATGGTCTTGCGTATCGGTATCAATGACTACAGACAGAAAATTCAGTGCCGAGGTTTCGTCAATTTTTCTCGCAAACAAAAATCTGTCCTCCATGCATCTTTATCGCATCAAATGTTGGATGCGATAAAAACGCACGAAGGACAAAATTTTCACGACCTAAATGCATTAATAGGTGAGGTACACGATGCACTTCTGCAGCATCCAAATTTGGCCTGTGCGTCCAGCATTTACAGCAACACCAAAAACGTTGATGCATTGTCCCAAAATGACGTACGTGGCACGCCTGATGCAGGATCTACTTGCAATTATTTCCATCAGAGGCAGTAGGATCTCACTAGACCCAGGTCGAACACAGGCTAAAAAGTGCAAAATGATTTTTGTAATGAAATGCCTGAAGCTGCAATGAAGACTCTCCAATTTCAACAACAATCAAAGGTATTCTATCGAGGAGCAATAATATTGGAAATGACTGAAAAGTGGAAACTGGAGACCATGGAGAAGTTTCCCAAACGGCCTGGGGAAGCTTCCCATTAACATTTTTCACCGGAAGCATCACATCATAGGATTAGGTGCACCCACTTAATATGGTATATGAGAAAAAAAAAAGTGCTCATGACGTGATGTGTGCAATGAAGCCAGAAACAACTTTATCTTCTCGGAATGTTTTCTTTCATGCAAAACCATATGGAAATTAAATAAATAAATAAACTGAACTAGCGGCCTACGGCCGTCTAACGGGCGAAAATGTGAAAATGTTTACATAAAAATATGAAGCAGTTCGGTTCAAACTAAGCATTAAAAAAATTCAAACAAACCTCGAGAAGTTGGAAATTGTTGCCGCCCAGCTAATTTTATCATCATCGATAGATATTAGTTACGCCACTGTTCGTACCCCACTCATCCTGAAAATACACACGCAAAGGAGCACTTCCATCGATTGCAGATAGCGACCACCCTGTTTTTGGTTGATGGTTTTAAAGAACCATGCTTATGCATTGTTCTTTAAAACCATCCGGTGAAGGGTGTCCTCTGGAGTCTCGGCTTTCTTTCTCCGTTTTCCTCCACCATGTGGTACAACAAATTCAATCCGAAAATAAGTTGCGAGTGCTCCAATTGATTCAAGACGATAGGCTAAAAATACTGGTATTCTTTAACGTCAGACAAACCTATTATCGCGGACACAAAAGTGAGTCGTACGCGGAATGGCCCAGAGGTGGCGCTAGGATCTCTTGACCCCGATCCCGGTCAAGTTGACCACTCCATTAGTGATTATGCCGATAGACTATAATTAAGATAAGAGGTAGTGCCCATACATCTGGCACCTGGGCACTATAATGAACATTAACTCGGTACCTAAAATGTTTTATTGAGACAACAAGGTCCTGAAAATATTGGACTTTACATGGGGTCAGGCATTTTGGCCGTGGTTAACAAATGTGAGCCTCACGTAATTTTGAAGTTATATGTAACGTACCTCCGCCCGGCCTTAACGTACGCGTTCGCTGCTTGGGCAAACTGCCCAGAGACAGTCCTCGACCGACTAGAACGCATCGAACGAGCTGCTATAAGATACGCCTTCCGCCTTCCCACTCATTTTTCTAACTCATATATATTCAGAATCGGCGGACTCACCCCTCTCTCTCGGCACTTTGCACTCTGCCAGCCCTGATGTTGGGAGGATCTCACCATGGTGGACGGGAGTCATGTGTTGGTCCACCACATGCGGGGGCCCACCATACATTTAGCTCCTATTTTTATAAAAAAAAAAATGGGACTAGGAGGAAAAAGAAACCAAGATCATCTCGAACATCTTGCGTGACCTGCGTAATCTGACCATCCTGAACTTAATAGTGCATTCTCGATCTTGATCTTGATCTTAATTCTTACGGTCCATCCCTGAGCTTTACCCAGCCCCTCCCGATTGACCCGCGCCATCGTGTGGCCGGACGTATCCCCGTGTCCCGTCCCCATCCTCCGCGAGATTCCAATTCGGTTTGAACCCTCCCCGCGGTAGCAAGCGAAAAGTACCATCGACGCCGCAGCTCCGGGACGGACGACGAATAGCCACAAACCTCCTGCGACCGCCAGCCATCTACCTCCTGGGCAAGTCTTCTCGGCCCGTCACCTCTTCCCGCCAAGTCCGCGCCACCACCAGCGTCCACGCCAAGTCTCTCCTGCTATACCGCCCCATCCACACCCAGCCGACCGCGCCCGTTCACTCTCTGTGTGTTGTCCGCAAGTAGTCTAATAAAATCATTGTCACCTGCCTGAGGGTCCTTTTGATTCGCCCATCCGCCATCGTGTCCTGCTAGAGGCCAAGAGCCCAGAGCCGTGACACCATTGTTGGAATACAGTGGTTTTTGAGCTTTGAGTCCGAATGCACAAACCTCATTTAGGGGAGATGACGGGGCCTTTTAGCGAAGGAGCTCTTTTTCTCCCGTAGGAATCCATACGTTCTTAACGGACTGTCGACTGTCTATAGTTAACGGTCGGATCTTACCCTACTGACGATACGTGTTGCACCACCGACGCACCAAACGAAATACGAACACCGTACGAAACTGGACTCGAAAAATGAAGTAAGCGATTACACTCGAATCCCTTCGAGACGCACGAGCACGCACGGGTCGGAGGAAGGTGAAGTGGCGAAGAGGCCATGCCTGGGCCATGCACTCAGGCCATGCACTCAGGCGGTTGCGTGTGAATCCCTCGACTGTCGATGCATTGCCCCGAGGGTTCATGGGGGGGAAGGAGGGGGCCTTCCGAGGCACGAAGTGGAAGACGGAGGTTGACAAGCGTCTAGACTCTAGACGATGCGCAACCAATCAAACCACCTTCTCGACTCGACTATAGACGCGTTTCGGTTTTGCAAAGGCCTTCCAGGCGACCCGGCACGGTCGGGAAGCGAGAGATTTAAATCGAAAATCCAGTCTTGAGAAAAATATATCGAAATTCGAAAATTGAGAGAAGGGTATCATCTCGATTTACCGATTTCTCTGAGTGTAGGACTACGCTCGCCCTACCTCATATCGGATAAACAATATTTAGGAATAGTTTCCTCGTGAAAGCCCAGAAGAAGGATACCTCCGGAGGACTGCAGCTTTTTTCACCCTTCATTTTCCCTTTTCAATTTTTGCTTTGCCTTTTCTGGACGAGCCGAATTGCAGGAAATATACTCCTCAACTCGAATCCGATTCATCTATTGCAGTGGTGCTTAACCTTTTCGGCTAGGGGGCCCCAGTCACTAGTATTGTAGGAGACTATTTAAAGTAAACCTAAGGGTATTTATTGTGGGTTAGGGCTTCGCGGGCCACTTTTTGCCCGCGGGCCACTGGTTGGGCACCACTCATCTATTGTGTACTGCGCACTGGCATTTGGGGATTCATCGAATCTCGTTATCCTTTCTCTCTGCAACCGGAGAATTATCCAGTAATTGGTGCACTTGGTATCCATTTAGTGCCTCGGCCATATGTCATGAACCATGATGTCATGCACACGGTGCACACAGGGCCAGCCTTAGACGTGTGCCACGTGTGCCTCAACACTGGGTACAAATTCACTAGGGGCACCAAAACGTGACTGAATGAATGAAGCAATAATGGATGCCACCCTCAGTTTTACATCCGAAAGTGAAAATGCCTTCCGTTTTGGTGTCTTTTTGGACTTGAGGGATTGACCCTTCTCCCCTGTTCCCACAACCCCACCCCCGTTTTCCCTGGAGAGTCGTCGGGGTCGGGGTCCGAAAGAGGCAGGGGGGCGCGCGAGGTCGCTTTGCACCGGGTGCCGGAATAGCTAGAGGGTGCACACTGGGTGCACACTGGGTGCACATTGCGTGCACACTGCTTATGAATACGATTTTGGGTAGGGTGCAGACCATGGATGTGGATATGAACTTACACATAACGGCGACGATGGTCCTAGAAAGTGACTCGGTACAATCTCTTTTCGATATTACATAGGTGCTGTTCTGCAGGATAAATTACTTTTCTTTCCTCTTCCTGGATCTTTGAGGGCATGATTCCTTTTTTTTTCCACGTGCGTTATCCTCTTCGCCCACCCTTGTGTGCTTACCACTTCCAAGTACTTTCTGACGCTCGTATCATTTCGCAAGGGGCAGAAATACTGCTGAAGCAGCACCAAAAAAAAAAAATAAGTCAATGAAAATCTAGGCAAACGAAGACTTTACTGACAAATAGTGATTAACCGACAAAATTGATACTGGAGTGTGATCGCATGGGACTGGAGACTGGATAGGGAAAGAGACAACGGAAAGGATGCGAATAGAAGACATCAATCGGAGGTAACTCGACCGCTCGAAGCAGCCGCGACTGCTGGTTCACTCCCACCATCCGTGGCATTCCGACGAGCACTGGGATTCGGGAGTTCGGGAGACGACGAGGGACTTCCCCCTTGACCCCTGGAACCTCCCGAGGGCCGATCCTGCTCTGCCGCGCTGCTCAGGCCGAACCCTCGGAATCCGTTCGCCGGGTCGTAGTTGTATCCGAACCCCCACGTCTGGGGCGACTGAGAACCCGTCGGGAATCCGCTCCTCAGGCCGATTCCCGTCGTCGCGACTTCGTCGTTGTCGAAAACGATCCCTCCACCCTGAGTGCTTCCTGCAGCCCCTCTGAGTCCGTTCTGGGGATCGTAAGAGTAGATCGATCCCCAGGATTCGGGTCGATCGTCGGACAATCCCGTCCTCAACCCGATTCCCCCTCCCTGAAACCCATTTTGCGGGTCGAAGCTGTAGAAGCGGTTCCAGGGATTGGTGTTGGATCCGGGACTGGACGAAGACCGGTCCGGGGCCTGACAGAAGACGCCCACTGCAGACACGATCGTAAGAAAGGCCACCGACCTGCAATCATCACATTACGGCTTGTTTAACCCAGATTCAAATGTTCTGATGGACATTTAATATTTCAATAACGAGGGACAACCCATAATTCCTTAAACCGTTTATTACATCAGTATGCAATTTACTGGAACATTTTATTTATTTTTTACTTTTTAAAATTTTATTTCGCGTCCACCTTCTTGATACAATCGTCCTTCACACGCATGCACTTCTTTTGTCCGCACCCCATCAATTTCCCCATCCGTTCAGTAAACTATTCACTGGGTATCACTTGAATCTACTACTGTAAAAGCAGGGACCAGTGTTGGTACGTAGGAACAGTACTTGGCGTGAAGGATGATGCCCATAATGAAACAGTTATGAATAATTTTGAGCATGGACTCACGAAAGAGCTTGATGTGGCAGCACCACGTAACCCGCTACATTTCCCGATGTATTGACTTTATGAGCGTGAAATGAAAGTACCACGAACATGAACGACTGGTTCTGGTCTTGGCGTACAAGATATCTGCTATAAAAGTCGGTGACGTCATCACTCACGTCGATTATGCATGGGAATCGCCGACCCCAAGAGAAAGCCATTTTTTAATCTGAAGAAATTAACTTTCATGCATGCCCTGCATCTCACATCGTAGAAAGACTCTGGACTTGCGGTTAATAGCGTTTGTTTCTTGAGATTAACAAAGCAAGTGGCGAATACAGAGATCAAAATGGTACTGCCACGAAAGTACTCAAAGAACAAGAAATCATTCGTGATAGAAGGTAGACGAGGGAGAAACAATGATGCGACAACTGACCGAAGAGAGGTCATGTCTGAAGAGAGAGACGATCGAGAAGCAGGGATGAGGAATGGGGAGGAAAGAGCACGCCCAGGAACTGATGGCTAAGAGGCCCTTTTAAGTGCATGGCATTTTCTATCTTCGTGTCGTCCTAGCGATTTGACCTTGACACATCCGCCACCGTATCACCCTTCTTCCTTCCCTTCGTTTCCCTTCCCTCCCCGCTAGAAATTCCCGCAGGAAAATCCCCCGATAAGAAATTCTCTCCCTTCTTGGAAGGAGAGGATGTCAAGATAAATACAGTATCAACCGGAAAGGAAGGACTTCGAAGATAGCACAGAACCCTTCATCTCTACTCGAGAGCACCATGTACGCAATAACACCCACATGCACTGTTTCTCAAAGAAGCTAACCCTTTGCACGCGCAATAGAGCGCTTATACAGAGACACACGCCAAAGAGAAAGGTCAAAGGGGGTTCCCGTCGATCGCGCCAGTGCAATACAAGCGCAACCAACGCTAAGCAGATACTCCTCATAAAAGGAGGTGGATCGCCTGTCGGTGGAGAGAAAGTCCACCTCCACTCGAACTCCATCCCCTCCTATCCAGATTTCACTTGGAAGCCTCAACCGAAGCCGGGGCCATCAAATTATTATATTGAATACAAGGTCGCATAAGTCACACGGCAATTTAAATTAACCTTATTTTTCTAGTTAGCGAATAGGTTTAATACAAATCTCAACTTCCAGTACAAGATAGGGAGAATTTGTATCATCACAATTTCGCCACAGGATACGCTCCGTGTCACAGGATAAGTTATTACTTCTGCACTCGAAGTCTCATGGCAAAATTGTCTGATTTCCTCGCGAACGTCCTAAGAGATTAACACATTCCTTCGGGTATCCTCAAAATGCATCCCTTCCCCGAAGTGTATGGTTCCAGCAGGATGGTGCCATAGTACACTGTGCTAACGTTTTTATGGACTTCCTGCCTGAGAGACTTGGGAATCGCGTGCTTCTCCGACGGTCCAGAAGAAGTCAATTTCTCAATCCATGCGACGTTTTTATTGGAGTATACCAAAAGGAGCGTGTTAATGCACCTAAACCTAATAACTGATGCTCTCTCTATCGCTCTCTCCCCTTTATTCTTCGTCTAGTACTTTCAAAACCGGTTCAGTCTCTATCGCATTGCTCTCCAAATCCCCCCCTGTTCCTTTTTGAATTTTCTTGTTGCCTCCGGGAGGAAGCGGCAGGGCCGTTTCTAGTCTCGGGGCGTCTGCAGGAGGAGGGGGGGGCGCTGCGCAAAGAAACACAATAATAAAAACAAGCTTTTTTTTATATGGTTAGCGTGGAAGCAAATGCCTTGACTTGGCTTTCATTATTTATAAATGTAACAAAATGATTTCCATCAGTTCCGGCTCCCTGTCAGCTTCCAGGGATAAGGCCCTGAACGCCTGAGTTGCGGTGGTGCTTCGCATCGCAGTTGGTGGGGGGGTGGGGGGCACCATTGGAACCGATTGGAACTCCTTGCCCTGGGTGCCGATATGTCTAGAAACGGCCTAGGGAAGCGGGAGATGGTCGTCCAGCATTCACTGCCAGGCAACTACTGTTGGGAACGTGCAGGCTTTATGCCAGTGATTACAAAGACTGGGCATATTTCCTGCCGTTATTCAGAAATGATACGTCAAGCCAATTATTATTACAAGCATGGTAAACCATTATTGATCTATATTGCCCTTTTCAAACACGTTGGCGATGTTGCCTTCGGAGTCGTCCTCTCGCCATGACTTCAGTCAATCAAGAACGGCACAAAAGCTAAGTGGTTTGAGATAAAAAGAAGTTGGCGGTTTAGGTGAAGCCTTCCACCATTCCTCGGGCGTTCCACATTTCTCTGCACCACCTCATCCTATCGACTTAAAATCTTTTTCAAAATTTCTTCATACCATTTGGAATTCCAGTTCCACGCAAGAAAGGACAGGGAGTCTTGACTCTGAAGCAACTGCTCCGGAAGGGAAGGCAGGGACTGGATTCTGGGCTATGCGACGACTTCAATCTGCCCGCACCAGATGGCTCTCCTGGGCGGAACGAAGGATGCCCGAAGCGCGGTTTCGAAGTCGTCCACGCCATTCCCGACGTTCCCAACTCCGAGGTTTTTCAGTCGGGGGTTCCTCCGCAGAAAGCGAAAGCTGAGGCCTTATTTCCATGCGGCCCTTCACTATAAGTTGCTCCTTCTCCATCTCACCGCATGGTTCATCCAAAAAAAAAAGATAAATAGATGGCGGTCGTTTCTGTAAGGCCGAAGATATGCCGCAGATGTACGCACCCTTATGCCTTCTCTGTTAAGTTTTTGGATGAAGGGTAGGTTTTTCTATCACCCTTCAAATGAGGAAAGGTTCCAAGTCACAACCGTATTGCGTGGCGGTAAATTCATTTCGAGCAGCTGCCCAAGCTATCGAAATAAAATTTATTCAAAAGACATTTCCTTTTGTAGGCCTAGACTCTTCACCTCTTCCTGTAAGTAACGTCAGAGACTACATGCGATTGCGTACAATCGGGATGGAGTCATTTCGAAAGAGGTGCTGTTAACGAACACATGGTTGCCTGAGTCCGTTTCTCCATGGTCTGGCTAGATCGCATGAAAAATAAGGTGAGCCACATTGATCTCTGTGCCACTTTCAGGAAAGGGAGGGAAAAAGTGTCGAGATGAACCGAGACCGCAGGCAATGTGTGGAGTCCGTTCGTCACACGGCCAGCTAGGGTGTTCTGTCTAGGATTAAAGTTCACTTAATCATCGGGTATACTGTACACTATTGAGGACCGACGTGTTGCAGGAGCTGCAGGGGACGCGAAATGGCCTAAATCCATTTCTCGGAGTTCGTGAATTCGAATGCACAGCAAGGAACGTTTCAAGCAATATATACGAAACTACCAGACATGCACACTAGGAGGACCTGGATGAGAGACATGGCGAGAGACATGATGCTACCCCCCCCCCCCCCTTCCCTGGGCTGGGTCCCGAGGGAACTTGGAAGCACTCGCTCCTTTCATGGCGTCCTATCTTCCCTTCCATCGCCCTTTGGGGCTTTTCGCGTCATGCTTTATCCTTTCCTGGGCGCATTTTTAAAAATCACGTGTTGAAAGCTGCATTGGAAATTCTCTCTATAGATGGCAGAAGCGGTCAGAGTGATTCGCACGAGTATTACCCCAGGACAAGATACATGAAGCTTTCATGACTCCCGACTCACTAGCGTATTTTACGGGGAGGGGAGGGAGGGGGGGGGGGGGGGGGGGGGGGG